ATGTATTGTGTTTTAGAATATTATAAAAAGAAATGTATGTCGAAATTAAATAAAAAAGACGCTGAGCTTTAATGATTAAGGTAATATGTAAAAAATTATATTGTATAAAACGCATGTATCGTAATGAGAAATGTATAAGAAAATAAATTTTCCTGTTGCTGAAGAAGTCCCAATAAAGGGACGAAACGTCCAACTCAATCAAATTAAGTTCTACTTCTTTCCATGTCCAAGTTCCCTATGAAATTTTATCATTAAAAATTATAATTTTGGACGAGAGAAAATACTAAATAAATATATTAACATTATCATCGATTTTTCTTAGATTATTTTGATCGACCCAATAAGAAAAGGAAACTTTTGTGCGATAGTTTGGACTAGCATATCGAGGACACATCGAAATATCGAATATGACTCATATGAGTTGGGCCAACCCCTCCGAGTATATATCAAACACGTGTGTATGTGTCATAAGCTAACGGAATGAGGGGGAAAGTAGAAAAGTAAGGTGATCGACAATAGAAAAAGAAAAAGGGGGTGTCGGGGGGTTCAGGGGGGGAGGGGGGTTGAATCGAGAAGAATGAACGATATTTTTATCAGGAACGATACCCACGATATGGGAGAAAAAGAAAATGGGGAAAGGAGGAAGAGGAAAAGGAAAAAGGGAAGGGTGGGGGATGAAGAAGAAGAAGAAGAAGATGGTGGTGAACATTGTCCTCGTTAAAAGTCCGAGACCGATAGCCTAGGTAGCTCGTTCGAACTGTGCACACGGTCTCGTGAGTTTTCCTCTTCTTCTCTTCGATACTGGTTTAACCTACTTTCGAACGCCGAATCGTGCTATTGAATAGCACCTTCGTGGTCGTCGTTGTAGTAGTAGTAGTAGTTTTCATAGTCGTAGTCGTAATAGTAGGAGTAGTAGTCGGAAATAAAACGACAAGCAACGCGAAACGGGAAACGAGGAAAACCGGAAGACACGAAGATCTATATATGAACCGTTTATTTTGAAAGTGGTGTAAGTCAATTTTTGAAAAAAAAAAAAAAAAAAAAAAAATGAGATATCACGTAATTCGTGTTTAATTTAATGTAAATTTTTGATGTATAATTAGTCCGTGTTTAATTTCTTAAAAAAATGTCCATGTTTTGTACAATTTCAAATTGGTCGGTAAATGAAATTGCATAATCATTGATTATGAAAGTGGTGTAAATCCAATTTCCATAGAAAAATAGGAAAAAAATAATATAAAAAAGAATTTTCTGTATACACCACAGGAATATTATGATATTATAAAACAGTGTAAACAACATAATAAATTTATTTTACATGAAATGAAACGAGAAAATTTCGTTTTAATGAAGAACCTAAAGAACGCAATCAAAAAACAGATAAGAAAAAACACTAATGGAAAACATTAAAATTTAAAATACTATAGTAGTATATGATTACATGTGACGAAGTAAGGTTGTTTAGGATTAATTAATTTATTATAATGTACGACTCTAAAATAATATGTATTGACGCGTGAACTAGGTGATCGAGTTGCTGAGGAAGTCCCCAGTAAGGGACGAAACGTTCAACAAGATCAAATAAATTTATTCATCAAAATTTATTAACTGTCTTCAATTTTCCCTTTGAAACTCATATATATTAAAATACTACTTTTATTTTATATCATGTCATTATTTGTAAACAAAATTGGATTAATATGAAGTATATTTTAAGTGATATTTGATTTTTCAAAATTGAAATTAAACGATTTTTACAATTGTCTAATTTTGAAAGTGGTGTAAGTCTATTTGCAGCCTATAAATATACAATATTTTAGTTAAATTATTCTAAAAGTAATGTATATAATCAAATTACATATCGATAAATTAATAGAAACATTATTGAACTTGATATAATTAATGAATATTTTTAAATTAACCAATATGCAAACCTTTAATTTTCTCGAAATAACAGAAAATGGACTTACACCACTTTCAAAATAAACGGTCCATATATATATATGAATGGGGTGGGTCAACTGTTTCTAGGATTATTATTATAAAAAAAAAAAGAAAAAAAAATGAAGTACTCTTATTCTAGACTTACATTTTATTTAATCTGACAATATCATCGTGTTAAAAGCAATAACACCGGAAAATAATGGCCTTCGTTTGAATAACGATGATTCCTTTTTTGTATAAATTAATCCAGTAATTCATTGCAGATTATCTAATCTAACTTAGTTTTTTCCCGGAGTTCGATCGGTTATTTTCTTTCGTTCTACGTACTCATCGCTAAAAGAAACGAATTAATCCGAATTGATTTTAATCTGAACTTATATATGCACACTATAAGTTAGAATTTTAATTTAGATTTTTCCTCTTAAAACTTTGCAGAAAGTTGTATAGATCAATTTCTTTTCAATTTGAATTTATCGAGAGTGAAATAGAGAGAGAGAGAGAGATTAGTTATACACGAGTTCACCGAAGATAATTATTTCATTTATTTTACAAAATTAATTGCGTTCTCATCGAACGGATTCTTTAACTAGTCTACATTTTACATTTTTTTTCTCGATAAGATCGTGTAATTATAAAAAATCTATCGAATATTTCTGAATCAAAGTCGAGAGAAGGAATAATAATTTTATTTGTAAAAAGAAGGAAGGAATAAAGAAAGAAAAAAAGAAACTGAAGATTTATAGAAAGAAAGTTCGATCCCGTTAATCGGTTTTTATAACGATTACGTATGAATCGAAACTTATTGGCAAGAATAAAATACACTTATTGGATAGAGAGAAATGAAAGTTAAAATAAAAACATTGTTAACATAAACTCACCTCCGCAAAAAACTCCGTCATGAAGTCATCCGGCCCGCCAACGTTGACGGACACATCGTCCGCCACGTCATCTTCGTCCGACTGGGCCTGTAATAAATAAAAATAACATTTATCGAATAACAATTATCAATATAAAATGGAAAAGAATGTGTAGGGGAAAAAAACAAACAAACAAGAAAATAAATATGCAACGTTCTCGATGCAACAACAACCACCAACACCAACAATCTACACAGAATAGTAGAGTTAGAACTTTTTTTTAGTGTCAACGATTCCCACGCATGCTGGGCCTATCGATTTTTGTTTCTTTTTCTCATTCGTTTTAACGTGATAAGCTTACGAAAGCTTTTCCCCGAGGCCGAGCGGTTTTTTATTCGGTTCTCTTCTACCGGTTATGCGATTGGTGATTTTGAAGGGTCTCGTTCTACTCGTCTTGGTCTTCGTAGTTTTCGTTTTCATCATTCTTCCTTGTTCGTTCCTTTAATCGCGTGTGTGTGTGTGTGTGTATATGTGGTAGTTGATACTCCCCACGTATTTCAACGCACAAAATGCGTGCCATTCTTTTTCATCACCCACCTACCCTCTCCCCTATCACCGATAAGACTACTTCCTTCCTATTTTTCTCATATCGTAACACGACGTAATCGTATTATCGTTCGACGAGCCACGATCTTGACCCTATAGCAACAAACTAAACTAAACACGATGACAGCCTTCGACTGGGGCCTCTGTTTAACGAGAATTCAGAAAGGGATTCGTGAAGAAAAAAAACCCCCCGTGAGAAAGATAAGCGACCCACTAAAACGTGATGGGACTAGGGTGGAGTGGGGTGGGGTGGGTTGTTCGTGTTCTTTTATCGTTTCAATTAACGAACGGTTGTTGCTTCTTTTTTCGCACGTACGAACGAAATTATCGTCATCTCTACGATAATAACAACAATAACGAATAGAAATAAATTCTGATGAAAGAAGAAAACCAAACACTAAACGCGGGGGAAAAAAAAAATAACGAAATTAAATCGCGACCGGATAAAAAAATCTTAAATCGTGTCAAATTTGTTTCTTAATCCTTCTTTGCACGATGATGGAAATTTCAATCATAATATTTAGTCAAGAAAAAATGGTACTCAAAACCCTTGTACTGTATATTTGTTGTTGCTGGCAACTTTTTAAGCGACTATTGCGTACAACAAAACGCAGTTGTCAAAAAATAGCACTAGGATTTTT